CTTGGTTTTAATAAACAAAATGTGGATTTTGACAGATAACCCAATCGAATTATTTTCCTGAAAATGCTCAAAAGCAGTATTTTAAAACAGCAGCTGTTGGCCAACATTCTAATATACAAGTAGATAGACTAATAAAAACACACCTTAAGAAAATTAAATAAAAATGATCAGGGCCTATAAGACAAAAATGTAATATTTTATTTTCAAAAACAGGAAGTTTCCTAGTCATCTTGATTAAATGTGTGTGGTCTTAAACTAATATATTAACTATCAACATCCAAGCCCTGATTGTCAGGCATGGTTTACTTCACTTGCCCAGGACTGTCTGTCCCCGTTTTAACACTTCGGAATCAAGACCTTCTCCCCAGAAGGAGACGGGCCATATGCTAACATGTAACCCAGCTAAAGTAAACTAGCTAAAAATGCTTTTACAAGTTTAGTCTTTTTCAAAACGAAGCAAACTAAAATTTATTAAACGGGCATTCTCAATTTTGTTTAGCTGACATATATTTACTTTTATGAGCAAAGGTAATCATATTAAACTAATGACTTGAATAGTCCCAACTCATAATTCAACCAGTAACTGACTGAAAATCTGAAATTTATACACCATTAGTATCAGTTCTTAGGACAGACACAGTTGGATATGGCTTCATTTTACCCAGAAGGTGCTGGACTTCTCTTCATTGATAAACCATTATTTTGGGGGAAAAGATGTATGAACAGGAAACAAACAAACCAAAAACATCATAGTTGGGCAGGCAAGTATGGTATACAGCCAAGTTTGGTTTACCTCAAAAATGCAATTCTGCAGTACCACCCGCTAACCAGGCTCTCTGCAAACCAGTCAGTTCACAAGAAGGAAGCAGAGTCAAAACACAGAAAAGCTAAACGCAGCTGCAAAACCAACATGTGCACAGAGATGGTTTTTCAACATGCAATCATTCTGGCTTTCCTTTACCAAGCCAACTTCAAGATATGGATCGCTTTTCCACAGGAACCTCTCAGTCAGTCATCTGTGCACCTGTTTGATTCCCAGTTAGGGCACATGCCTGGGTTGCAGGCTCGATCCCCAATGCAGGGTGTATAGGAGGCAGCAGATCCATGTTCTGCTCTATCGATGTTTCTCTCTCTGTCCTTCCCTCTCTCAAAATCAATTTTAGGAATCTTAAAAAAAAAAAAAAAAAAAAAAGAAACTAAGGTAAAGGCAACTAACTTTATAAAGTAATCAACTTTTTTTTAATGCAGCAATTTGGAAAAGTAAAAAAAAATGTAGCTTATGTATTACAACTGATTTGGTACATTAAGGAAGTCATTATATACACACCTTTAATCAGCTGTTACTCTTAAGTGACATTCTTATTTAAAAAACAAACTATGAATATTACATGGATTACCCTCTCTCCCTCAAACAAAAGCCTAAGTTGACAAAAGAGTAAATTATTATAAGTGCCCCTTTCCTTTGCCTTAGATTTTTAAAAATCCAAATACCGGTATATATAGTCCCCCTTCTCTCTACTTCCTATATATAAATCAAACTTCCTTCACATTTAGTCAATTCTAAAACCAAGTCATTTTTGCCCCTAAGAAATATTTACAAATTACCTTGTGAATTAGTTTCTAGCCTATCACTTAAATTTCAAAACAGACCCAATTTAAGTAGCCCGTATTTCATATTAATATAGCATTTAAATACCACACTAACTATACTTGGGAATAATACAGTTCTTAAAAGTCATAATTATTCATTTTATTTGTTTAAAAATAGCATAGATGGCACTCGAATTCACATTAACCTGTTTGAACACAATTAAGTAGGACATTTTATCACTATACAATAGAAGAAAACCTCATTTAGACCACTTAAGGCTTACATAAACTAGTAAAAATACTGTTTATCTTTCAATGCACACTAGAATGCAAAGTCTCCTTATAAAATTCAATAGTTAATATATTAAGTGGAAGCCCAAATGCTGACTACAGTAGGTAAGATTTAAGTTGGCCATACCAGCTGAAGTGTCTGGATAACTTACTAAATTCTTAGTTTTTGTCTAAATGCAATCTTTACCATCAAAGTTCCACCTAGACATGTAAAATAATGGTTTCCATCATTGTGGACTCTAAATTAATGAGACTTTACTGTATTAATACTGAACAGAGCATACATTTTTAGAAGGATGCAAATTTCTACTCCTCCATATCCAGAGATTAAGATTTAATTCAACAAAGCTAATGGACACTTCCATAGAACACAGAAACGGGAGTGGAATGTCTATACATTCCCCACACTTCACTAACAAATTACAGGAAAATTGCTTATTTCATGGCAACCTGGATTATATAATATTATATAATATTATAAAAGAAAAGGCCACTTATTATGATGAGTGTAGTCTTTATTGAAAGACTTACTTCAACTGTGGTTTACAGCTTTGGCTTAAGTTGGCCAGTCATTTTAGCCTGTTACTGCCAGCAGACATAAAAACCAGTGGGAATGCCATGGGGGAAATAACTAGTAGGGATTAGAGCAAAAATGGCAGTCAAAAACACATCACCAAAATCAACCTCAAAATAAAAAACTTTCATTGCATGCCCAAGAATCTGTGCTGCCGTTTCTAATGAACATGGAAAAGGCAACAATTCTTAGGCTTAAATTGGATGAAAATAGCACTGATTTCATTTAGTTATGGCCGGTGTTAGCTTGACAGTTTTATTCTAAGATAGTGCATTTTGTTTGGATATTTAAAAAACTTACTATGAAATAACTTCCATTAACTGAGCTGATCATGAACTCTCGTTCTCTTTCCGATTAAGACGAAGGACACTTCAGTCATGTGTTTACTATGGCAATATAATTAATTAGTCCTTATACTTTTATTAATTCATAGAATATACAACTAGGAAATACTGCAGCTATATTTTAGCTGTTATCTCAATAAGCTAATTGATTTATTAGCAGACCAAAAAAGGCAAACTGAGAATTTAATAGGCTTTTATCAATATATTTTTAAGTCTTTAATTGTTCAAGTTTCACATATATTCAAGAAATTTTTTATTAGGAGGCATAATTGATATAATTTGTATTTGAGTGTTCTCTTATAAAATGTAAAATAACTTTTCCATAACATCCCCCAAAGACACCATGAGCAAAAGAAATAAGGGTAAATTTTGTAATAGAAGAATATAACAGATGACTATAAAAATTGGCCCAAAGATGAACTTCAGACTCTGAATTTTCAGGTATAGTAGTAACATTTGGCTATATTTCTAAATAAGGGAGAAAGGGAAATAATACCAAAATTATTGTGGTTACCAATTTATAAAACCATTATATCAAAGCTAATTGTAAGATTTCAAAAGTTTCAGTAATAATCTGTGGATATTAGTTGCAACTTACTAAACTATAAAGGCTTTTCTCATTTTGGTGTCCAGGCCTCAAAACATTTCAAATATATTGCCTAAACATTTGCACCCCCTAGCTGTCAAAATTCAAATACATAGGATTTTATCCCTTTTACATTCCTGTTATGATAAAAGTTCGAGGCAGATTTTATCCACATAGTCTGAAAAATGCCTCCGAAACAAACCTCAATCTTCTCCACCTGCTAATTCATTTACAAACTGCACTCACACAGCCCAGCCTCTGTTCAGGCTTTTCCTCCCCGGCACACTACCCACACAGGAAAACAAAGGAACCAAAAGGAAAGTCACAACTCTGTACGCTGGTCAAAGCAGAGCCAATCATAAGTTGGTACAATGAACTGTCTAAATAAGATGTTTTAGCAATCTTGTTTAAAAAATTATCGGGCAAAATATATCTAATTTAAAAAACACCCAAAGATTTTTTAAAAAACACTTGTATTTTACAATTTATAGGAACCTTGAAATGGCTTACAAGGTTTTAATCAAGGTGTTTACATACCAAGTGATGTAAAGCAAAGGGAAAAGGCAAAGAAAAAAATCTAATCTGCAATGACATTTTAAAATGTATTTCTGCATCAAAGATTTATATGAAATTAAAATTAAGGCTTTTTCTGTATAGTAATTTGTATAATTTTAATTTTACATAGTAGCCAACCTTGGAAATGTCAGTCTTAAACATTCTTATCAATCCATTGCATTCAATGCAGTGGAGTGTGTTGTTACTTCAAATAATTACATTGCTACTTCTATGTTGAAGCATGCTTTTTAAACACTGTAGTTAATATTTACAATGTATATCATTTAAACTTCATGTAAAAGCACAAGTATGACTGTCTGACTTTAATACAAACACCATACTTGGAATTTTCCCCCAAAAGTGAAATGTAATTTACTACAGTTTTAATAATCAACACTTTTTAAAGTCTTAAAAATATGTCTTAATGTGAATCACCAACATTTGCTCAAGTAACTCAGGCAATGCTGTTCCTTATTTAGGTTGCAAAATTTCTTTATCAGTCTGGCTTCAGGTTTCTTTAAGCATAAAGTAAATATTTCCTCCAAAGCGACTCCAAAACCATGCATTTCTTCTCAATATCACACTTTTTTTCTGCTGACTTCGAATGTGGTCCACCTCAGAGTAGGGGAAGGTAATGTCAAGATTCAGGACGAACTTATATGTGATTCCCAGTTTTTCACGATTCTCCCTTTGTTTTTTTCCTCTTTTAAAAACAGTGAGTTAAAATACTGAGTAGCCAGGTAAAAATGGAATAGTATCTAGTAATCAAAATGTATTACCCACTTCTCCTATAAAATTTGTAGTCAGAATTGTCTTTATTGACTTTATTTTAGTTTTTGTACACAAAGAAAAATCATGTTCATATCCATCATGAACAAAAACTTAAAAAGGCAGAACTAGAAGACATGTGTCCTTCACCAAAGCAAAGCTGTGCTAAAGGTTCCAAACATTTCCATTTTTAAAATAAATATTTCCGTTTTCCGATGTCTACTTCCATGTCTTCAGAGTGTCACAGGAAACTGAAGCTATTATGAATTACAATTTTGTTTAGAGTCCCAGCTCACTGCGTTTGGTAACTTGCCATACCATACCCAGCTTGGTTAGGAGGAGGTATTACAGGGGGAGGAGCTTGTCCTTGGGGAGGCTGAGCACCAAATCCACCCATCCAAGCAGCAGAAGGTGATTGACTTGAAAGAGAAGAAAAAAACAAACACTTCAGCAAACACAAGGAAAAATCATCTGTACATTTTTACAAAAACCAAGCAGAGCTAAATCACAGAATAGACAACAAAGAATTAACAAACCTACAACAAAGAGCAAAGAAATACCTGATACATAGCCAGCCACATATGTAGAATACATATTACAATATTAGTCTTTTTATTTTTATTGATTTCAGAGAAGGGAGAGGGAGACAGAGAAACATCAATGGTGAGAGAGAACCATTGATTGGCTGCTGCTTCTATGCCCCCCATTGGGGACTGAGCCTGAAACCCAGGCATATGCCTTTGACCAGAATCAAACCCGGGACCCTTCAGTCCACAGGCCAATGCTCTATCCACTGAGCCAAACCAGCTGGGCACAATATTAGTCTTAAATTGTTAAGAAAATACCCACAACTTAACACAATGACTGCTCTGAAGAATAGCTCAAAACTAACTAAGAAGACAAACAAACAAATGGCTCCTGGCTTGGCTCAGTCGTTGAGCGTTGACCGTTGACCTATGAACCAGGAGCTGATAGTTCAATCCCCCGTCAGGACATATGCCTGGGTTGCAGGCTTGATCACCAATAGGGGGTATACAGGAGGCAGCTGATCAATCAGTGGTTCTCTTTCATCACTGATGTTTCTATCTCTCCTCTTTTTCTCTCTGAAATCAAGAAAAATATATTTTTTTAAATGACAAATGATTCAACACATCATCTACCTACTGTATATTGCACACTGTATATCAATTTACAAGAAATTTTAAAAACACAAGTTCATTTTTAAAAAAGAAGAAGGAACAAGTGAAAATAAAGGGGACCTCTGGGGACCAGCCCACTCTATCAAATAAGGAATAAAAGCAAGCTACTTTTTAATCAGATAAATCTCTGAAACTCCTCACATAAGCCAACAGGTATAAATCATTACATTTCTGAACATATCTAGACAAAGATCTTTTCCACACCAAAATAAACAAGCAGATAAAATAGTACGTTAGAAATGTAAACCAAACTCTGCCAATTGCTTATAAAGGTAGCAGGACGTACCAAACATTACCCCAACCTCCCTTTTCACCTAGGTAATAAGAACATTTTTAGCACCATAAATCTCTTTTCATAAGTTTTTTAATAGCTCAATAAATTTAATTTAAATAGATTCTCCCTAGGAAAACACACTTTTTATTGCTCTTGTCAGAACCATAGTTCTATACTGAAAAAACAACAACAAACAAACTTGCCAAAACCGGTTTGGCTCAGTGGTAGAGCGTAGATCTGCGGACTAAAAGGTCCTGGGTTCGATTCTGGTTAAGGGTATGTACCTTGGTTGCAGGCACATCTCCAGTAGGGGGTGTGCAAGAGGCAGCTGATCGATGATTCTCTCTCATCGATGTTTCTAACTCTCTAGCCCTCTCTCTTCCTCTTTGTAAAAAAATCAATAAAATATATTTTTTTAAAAACAACCAAACTTACTCTACTCCAAATCCTTGTTGATTCCATGGTTGCCCGTATACTCCATAAGGCGGTACTTGCCACCCATTTGCCATATACTGTCCGTACTGTTGTGGGTTTCCATAAACTTGGCTCCACTGACCCCACTGACTATAGTCAACCTAGGAAAAAGCAAATTACTGTTTTAGGAAACAAGTAAGAAACACAGTATTTGAAGAAAAGTGGGAGACAAGGAAGAGAAAAACTAAGTAAGCACCCTTATGTGAATAGGACTCTGTTATTTATCATTGTCTAAGTTTATTGGGTGGTGACACCTGTGAAAAGAAAGTATTAAGATTCAGTTAATACCACAAAATAATCACTTTTGAAATAGTATTAATAAAAATCAAGTGAAAGCAGATAAATGCTTCATATTTTAATTTCAGTTTCTAAAAGTTTTTATGTAGATATTTAAGATAGAAACCTTAAACAGTGCTATGAAAAATCGAATTACCTGCTGGAAGTTTTTAGTCATATCAGGAGATTCTTTACCCCAATAGCATTTAACAACATGTCCTTCAATCGTAGTACCATTCACCGACACAATGGCATGGGCTGCACTTTCGTGGGTTGAAAATCTGAAAGAAAAATAGAAGAAGTTTTTTTAAAGAACTTAACACAGTACTAGCTTACATCCACACTTGTTAGTTTATAAGTGTCAATCTGGCATTGGTATCGTAGAGTACGTTATATAGGTAGTTTAAAGTTCTACATTACAAAGTAATACTAACATAACAACCTCTGATACTTGGGGGGTGGGGGAGAGATCAAATAATGTAACTGAAAGGAACAAATCAAATTTAAGAGTAATAATATTATAGGTAGAATTTTACCTGACAAATGAATAGCCCTTTTCTGGAAAAACTCTTATTTCCATGATTTGTCCAAATGGTGAGAATGTCTGTCTCATAAGCTGATCTGAAAAACAAAAACATATAGATTATTCAAGGTTCATGTTTACCATAAAATTGGTACTAACAGTGATGAAGCTCCAGAGAAGGGGGTTAAAAACCAAACACAATACCTGTTAACCCAGAAGCAATTCCTCCACAGTACACAGTACAATTTTTTGGACTTGACTGGTTTACTACATCTTCAAATCTTAACTGCTTAGTGTTATCTACATGCACAGAGAAAACAAAAATGTTGAGAGATTACTACATTTTATTAAGATATTCCTCATTTGGGGGGGAAAAAGTGAAAGAAAGTATTTTTCTTCATGCTCTGATTTGATCTATATCAGATGGTTCACAGCTCCAAATACAGTATCTCAAAGCCCAAAGTTATATTCAAGATAAAACGAGGCTTGCAATGCTAAAGTTTTAAGACTATACCAATTAAGACTATACCAATACATGACTTTGTGAAGCACCATCATTTTAATAGAGTAGATGTAGCTTACTTTCTTGTGTGCTTTTAGGTGCAGGTGGTTTGCGTGTGGCCCAATTGGTTCTGATCTGACGACCACCCAGCCACTGACCTCCCATATGCACAATTGCATTTTCTGCATCCTATAGAGAAAATGAGAAAGAGCAATTACAAACAGAAAATTGTGGTATATAAGACCCAGAAGATGAAAGAAAATGCTGGCAATGCTGGATCCAATAAATCTTATCAGTAAATTAATTCCCTGAGCATCCTAAGCAAAACTGGACTAATATACTAAGAAAATTATTTATATTAAGTGATTCATAAAAGTTATTATTATTTATAGATTTCAAAATACCAAGACAGCATTAGAGAAATTTATCATAATTCAAATATGCAAGAAAAATATCACAATCCCGTTGATTAAAAAATAAAAAGGCAGCCGAAGCCGGTTTGGCTCAGTGGTAGAGCGTCGATCTGCGGACTGAAAGGTCCCAGGCTCGATTCCGGTCAAGGGCATGTACATTGGTTGCGGGATGTGCAAGAGGCAGCTGTGCAAGTAGGGGATGTGCAAGAGGCAGCTGGTTGATATTTCTCTCTCATCGACGTTTCTAGCTCTCTATCTCTCTCCCTTCCTCTCTGTAAAAAGTCAATAAAATATATTAAAGTAAATAAATAAAATAAAATAAAAGGCAGAAATCCCATAAGATAAAGTTGTTTTTCTAATATTTTGATTTTATGATTTGTAATGTAACCTTTACTGAATAATATATAAAAACTCTAACGTTATGGTCTAAATCACCTAACCCCAAAAATGTACATTCTAGTAGCAATGTATTGTAACTATAACACAATATTAAAAACTCATTTAAGGCAGAAAACTTTCTGCATTGTTGGAAAATGCTGTAAAGTGGCTGCCAATAAAAAATGAATTTGGATTCTCAGAATTAATGCGAATTTGCAACAAATGCAATGAATCTAAGCAAAGAAAGTACATGGCCCCTGTCCTTTATCGCACTGCTTCAAAGACGCAGGTAACCTAAGTTGCTGAAACTGTTCTAACGTGCTGATGTCAAAGCCCACTTTATAATCTGATGTTATAGTTAATGCAAACACTTAAATATTTTAGTACTTTTTTCTTAAAAAATACACGCAAAAGTCAGGATGTACTGCTGCAACTTTCATTTAATGTCCCAGCTACAAAAGTATGAGTAATTATTAGAAGTTAAAACTGAGATTTTTAAAGTTAAGACTAAATACAGTCTAACTTCCCTCTAAATTCTGACTACCTCATTTGTCCTACCTTTTAGCTTTACTTCTAAGTTATATCTTACCTTCACCAGTGCACAAATGCAACTTTATTACTCTTCCTTATAATCAGGCTATCTTTTTTCAACTATTTCCAAGCATATGACAAAATGAATTATGCTTTATTGTTAAGACATACAATATTACATAAAAGCTGTGTTTGCAGTTAACATCTAAGACCATTCAAGTTTCAGATTAATTAATGACTAAATTCTGTATTAAACTGAAATTGCATTGAAAGAACGTACCAGTTTGTTATAAAAAGATACAAAACCATAGCCTTTGGATTTTCCAGTTGCCATGTCTTTAACTACTCGGGCGTCCCTGTGAAAAGAAGCACAGCTAAATGAGGGAAGTAAGAGTCATCCTCAAAATAAAAACTAAAAGGAACCACACACACTGTATTGTGAGCATTTTTTAAAATAAAATTTCAGTTAGCCCTAATTAACTACAGTCATTCCTGAACTCTCCCTAACGCTTCTTTACCTGTTAGAAAAAAGCAGTAGGACAAAAACATGTAATAAACATGCAACCTAATCAAATAGCCTGTGCTTTCTAAACTAAATGCTCAAATCTGAAGATAAATAGGAACAATGGTTTCCTTTTCTAATATTCTATTGGCTAGTGTCCTCTAAGGTTTACTGATTCTATAAATTACTGTAACAATGCTAACTACTTTACCACCATGCAATCTCTAAATAGTTAAATGTTTTCTGCCTAGTGATACAAAATATATGAAATATTAAAAAATTGAAAAAGAGGAAAAAATAGGAATTAAAAAGGCATACATGGCCTGTTAACAGATTTCTTTATTTTTCTTGGTCAATTCTCTATCATCATTTTGGAGTTTGGGCAGCTGTAAATTTTGAAAAATTGACATTTTCAGAAATTTAAGAAAGGAGAATAAAAAACTAACAACAATGCTAAGCACACCAGTACGAAAACAACAAATTTACACAGAAATTTTAGTGAGTAAGTTAAAATGATTGGAAATAAAGAACTCCACTGAATATAGAATGTTAAAATGTAAATACTAAAATATATGTATATATAAATAAATGTATAATAAGAATAAATAGAAATGAGAAAAAAATCTACAACTGAGTTCCAGTGTGCACAGTTCCTTGCAGTTAGCCTTCAAGATCCTGTCCATTCTTATGAGCAATTCTGCAAAATAACCAGAATGCTATTACTTTTAATTGTGACTTGGACTTTAGAAAAACTGCAGCTCTCAGGTATAAATAAAGATTGAAAAACAGCAACCTGTATTACTTTTTATACTTATTTTTTACTTACCACATTTAGAGATTAAAAAGCAAAGCAAATATCAAAATAGAAAATTAAGAATTAAATATTTCTTTCAAATAAAACTATAGAACAACAAATTGTATACAGAAAGATATTGTTGTTCTTAGTTGAAACATATTCCTGTAAAGTAATACTAAAATGTATTGTTTAAATCTACAGGAAATACGTAAGACAAATAGATCTTAATCAGAAAGATAAATTATGATAAACATTTTATAGAATTGTAACCACTTTTAGTTTTCTAATATATTTGATCAAGTAACATACAGTGAAATTTGAGCATGAACTTTGTTAAAAATTAAACCACATTTGGGCCCTAATTAGCAGAATAAAACACTAACAGAACAGAAAACAATCCAAATTTATGGCTCAAACATTGAAACTTCTTAATACTATAATAACATTTATCATTATAATTTAACATATACATTTTCATTTAACCACAATATACCCCAGGATTTATACTTTCCCCCACTAATAAAAAGCTTAATACACAATATAAATCACATTTATTTTAACCCATTATCTTTAACCACCAAATATCGAAAACATTTGACAAAAAGTTGGACTTCATAATAGTTTTTACCACCCAAACATCTGCTTCAAAGATAACAATCACTTAAAATTTTTAAACACATTATACACAGGATTAGATGAAAACAAGACCCCAAAACATTAAAATGACAACATTTTCAACAACATCTAATAAAAAACAAAAACAAAACAAAAATCACACTAATTAGGAAAAGAAAACCTTAATTCTTATACAAGTTAATCAGATACTATTGTGCCTATCACAATTGAGTATAGTATTGATTATGATACTTACGATATTTTACCAAAGGGGGCAAATGCTGATTTGATATCTTCTGTTGTAATTTCTGGACTCAAATCCCCAACAAACACATGGAAGTGATCTGAAATCAAAGCATTTGGTAATCAAATACTTAAGTCAGCTACTAAACCTTTTATTTATGTTTATTTTTTTTATTTTTGCTATTAAACCTTTTATAGGCAACAGGAAGGGAAGGAAAAAACCCTACTTAGGCTGGTAATGCTGCCAGGGTAATTTCAGAACTCGTCCACAGGAAAATGCAGCAGGAGTACTTACTGGAAGTATCTTTTTTCTGGCTACTTGGTGTTGTTGCCCAGTTTACTTTGACCTCCTAAAAATAAAGATTATATTTAATACAATTATTAGGGATATCATTAAAAAGCATAACACTTACCACTTATTAAGTCATTTATCAAGCAGGATATTTTTATAAAAGTACTAGGCTGAATAAAGCAAAATCATCACTCAGCAGAGCTGAATATTCTTTTAAAAACTTGCTAAGCAAGAATGCAAACTAATTTGACATGCAAACACGTATGTTCATTAGGTGCCATTATTCCTTAAACTAATTTGACATGCAAACACTATGTCATTAGGTGCCATTATCTTACCTTTCCCAAAATTTTTCTCCCATTCATAGCAGCTAATGCAGCAGCTGCATCTCTGTGTTCATAAAATTCCACAAAGCAATATGGGTCATTGCTTGTATGCTGCAAAACAGAAAATCCAACAGAAGAGTTGACCCTTCTGCTATCGGGTTGCTGAGAAGAAAATCCAGGAAAAAACATTACTGATAGCTAGGAATGTACAGGTGAGATTGCATAAGTTTATGAAAGCCTAACACTTTATAAAGAGTTATAGCTAGACCTGACTCACCTCAGGATTCTGTTGTACGCCAACAGAACTGCCAAAGCAACATAGAAGTATGACTATCAGCATTAAATCAAAATACAGAATTCTAGTGAAGTATGATAAATATAAAATAGAAGTTTATATTAGACCAAACAAAACCTCAGTTCAGATTTGATGGATAAGGACCACTTCCTTACCACTGCTCTTCTTTCCCAACAGAATTCTCAACATGAATTCTATTTATGCATCAGAATCCTTCACTAACTGTAACCCATGACTACCAAAAATACAGAAATGACCAACTTTACAAACTTTACTCCTATTAGCTCTACATATGATGAGATGAGATTATGTATTTCTTTTATAGATAAGAAATGAGAGTAATATTGAAAAGTTCAAATTTATAACTTGCTATTAAAGTGAATTTCCTTTCGCTGAAACCAGTTTGGCTTAATGGATAGAGCGTCGGCTTGGGGACTCAAGAGACCCGGGTTCGATTCCGGTCAAGGGCATGTACCTTGGTTGCAGGCATATCCCCAGTAGGGGATGTGCAAGAGGCAGCTGATCGATGACTCTCCCACATCGATGTTTCTAACTCTCTATCTCTCTCCCTTCCTCTCTGTATAAAATCAATAAAATATAAAATAAAATAAAAATAAAGTGAATTTCCTTTCAAAATATTCTAATGTATTAGAGATTCTATAAATTTTTGAATTTGGTCATCAAAGACCAGAAAAATAAACTAGTGATTGAGAAAAAAATTTCTAAAAATGTCTTTAAACATTTCAAGACAAAGCTACAATTTTATATCACAAAAACACTCAAATATTATATATATTCTACAACATTATGCTTGACAGTAGTTGGCAAATAGGTGTTTACAGATGAGGAGAAAGTAGTACACCTAATTATATCATCTCACAACCTACATGGAAGTAAATTTTATAAACCTGCAACCTAAATTGGAGTTACACAACTGTATATTTACATAAGATTAAAAACAGTCATCACTGTACTGTGTAAAATGCCCTAAAAAAATTAAAAATGTGGAATTCTAGTTGCACTTACAAAGGATAAAAATAACAGATAAAATAAAGATCTTTTCAACAATCACTGTTTTTCATCCCAGGAAAGTTTTAGAAGAAAAATCCAAAATAAGACGTCTAAAACAATAGTGGCAAAGCAACCAGAGGCATTTCCTTGAGAGGGGGAAAAAGTGTGATCATTAATACTGACAAGAAAACGCTGGGCTCCCACACAAAATCCTACCGTCCTAGCAACAGGAACACTGTTCTGAAGAGGTAGGGAAAGAAAATGGGGGGGGGTCCAAATCTTAAAGTCCTCCTTTAAGAAAGTTAATATTTGCTAGTAACAGAAAAGAAAGGATTTAAAATGTAAATAAGCTAAAACAACTAGTCAATTTTTCCTTTTAGTCCTACCTTTTCTGCCCTATGGCCTCTGAGGAAAACACTGATAACTGTAGCAAACACAGAAAGTCCAGTGGTAGAGCTATAACAACAGACTTCAGTAAACTCGTCTACTCATGCACGCGGACTGCATGTTTATCTGAGAGGTAGTAGGCCAGACCCCATTCAATGTACGTAAACACGCACATTCATATATTCACACACACTACAATTTTATCTAAGACCCTACTGATTTCTGCCACATCTCAAATGTCAGATGTGTTAAAAAAATCTACTAGGTAATATGCATTTATTATAGTATACAGGGAAAGCTAAGCTCTAAATAGTACCTAAAGTAACAAACTAACAAACATAAAACTAAGGGTAAGAATGGATTTTTAACATGCTGAAATGAAATTCACGAAAGAAAAATAAATGCCTAGTCAGTCTGTAGCAGTGGTCACCACCGGTGGTTCACAGACACTGGTGGTCCGTGCGGTCCGAAAGGTCGGCGACCGCTGGTTGGAGCAGAGTTCATCCTTTTGGAAGCTTCCCACCTTCACCACAAGCAAGTGACACTAAAAATTACTGTGTCTGAATTACTATGGTCACCAATTTTTAAAAAAATCCTTACCCAAGGATATAATCTTTATTGATTTTAGAGAGGGGGAGAGAGAGAAACATTGATGTGAGAGAAAAACATTCATCGGTTGCCTCCTGTATGTGCCCCAACCGGGATGAAACCTGCAACCTAGGCATATGTCCTGACCAGGAATTGAACCCACAACCATTTTGGTGTATGGAAGGAACGCCCACACTCCAACCAACACAGCCATCCAGCCAGGACTGTAGTCATCAATTCTTGTGGGATGACATAAAGATGAAGACAGAGAAATACAAGGACTTATAACTATTTACAAGTTCAAATGAGGGAGTTGTAAATTTTGAAAATTCACTAAAATCCCTCTACCCCTCAAATGGCTGTACATGCAGGTTTTTATAAAAACACTTTAAATCATTATTAAATTACTTGCAAAAGTTTCTAATGATTCTTTCCCCTTTTTCACATCCCATTCTCTTCTAAACCCACTCCAACTGGCTTCCAACCCAACTAATAAGCCGCTGAAACTCTGCGTTATACTCACCAGTGACATCTCTGCCAGCTCTGTGATCCCTTTTCTGTCCTCATCTTGACTTTCAAGTAGAATTCAAAACAAGTGACAACCCCCAAAAACCCTTTAAACATTCTCCTTCACATTCCACTATACTCTCTTGGTTTTTGCTTTCTCACGGGTGTGTGTGTGTGTGTGTGTGGCCGGTAGTTCTTAACTCAGACTCTAAATGTCGTAAGTGTAGAGATGTTCCGGAGTCCCTCTACTCTTCTCTACATCACTCTCAGGAACTAGATGTCACCTAGTCCTATGGCTTCAAATACTACTGCAAGCTGGTATCATCAGCACTGGTCTCTTTCAAGTACCCAACTAGTTTATCCAACTGCCTACATATCATGCCAATTTAACTGTTTAGTGCACATCTTAAATTTAGCATTGCCAAAAAAGAGTTCCTGATTCCCACCACTCCCCCCCCCAATCCATCCTGTGCCTCCCCTACGCATGCCCTCTTTAGCAAATAAGTAGCATTACCATCCATATAATTGCACAAACAAGAATCTTAGGGTCGCCCTGGCCGGTTTGGCTCAGTGGATGGAGCAATGGCATATGGACTGATATGTCACAGGTTCGATTGTGGTCAAAGGACACATGCCCGAGTTGTGGGCTTGATCCCCAGTAGTAGCCGTGTAGGAGGCAGCCAATCAATAATCCCCTCTCATCATTGATGTTTTTGTCTCTCTCTCCCTCTCCTTTCCTCTCTGAAGTCAATAAAAATATTTAAAAAGAAAAAGAATCCTAGGGTCCTTCTTGAAGTCTTCTTTCCCATTACTCCCCACAGCCAATCTGTTATTCTATCTCCAAAATATATACCAAGTTTATATACTTCCATCTCTATGGCTTCCACTCCAGAGAACAAGTTCACATCACCACTTAAACTAGTCTAGTGAAATAAACTCAGCTGGTTTCCCTTCTTCCACTCTTGCCCCTACAATCCATTCTCCACATAAGAGTCATTCTCCAAATACAGTACCTTAAAGATTCAAATCAGAATACATCACCCTACTTAAAACCCCACTGCTCTGTGTCATGGGCTGTACTGCCCTCTGTGATGCCAAACCCTGCCTCTCTCTTCACACTCACTGCCCACCACTTCCCCTGCCCCTCACCAGGCTCCAGCTATCCTGGGTCTTTCATTGCACCCACACACCAAACTCATCACCAACTCAGGCTTTGTATACCAACTCTGCTTCTAGCTCTTAATGTAGATGGTACCATCTCGCTCTTCCCGTCTCAGCTCGGAGGTGACACCTTCCCTCATCACCTAGCCCACAAAGCACATACCCTCCAATCATCATCACAGAACTGCTATATTCTCTTCGTAGTTCCAGTTTTGAATAATGCCTAGCACAAAGTAAATTTTGTGGAAAATAATGAATGAATAATCAGAAATAGGAAGAAAAGGGAACATAATATACCAGAACAGACTGATAATTATCATTAGTCAGGAAAAAAAGACCAAAAGACCAATTTGCTTTACAGATTTTTAACACTCCCCCTGTCTCAGGACATAATACAGACTCCTCAGCACAGCTTGTGGTCCCTACCGAACACTCCTCCTCTCCTCTTAGCATCTCTGTGACTAGCCAACCCCACTGCAAACTCCAAGCATGCTATGATCTCTGTCTTTTCCTTTCAAGCATTTCCGCTGTTTACCAGACCAGATCAACATTCCCCTCTCTACCTGGAATCCCTTCTTCCTCAACTTCCTTTTTAGCCAGTGTCCACTACTCTCTTTTCCAGCTTCAGCCTAGACACTAACACCTCTAAGAAGCCTCTCCAGACTAAGGCTGACTGGAACTTCCATGTTCTCCCACAGCATGTGAAACTGCTCCCATCGCGTTTATTAGCCTCCATCATTATTGTCTGCTAGCTCCTCTGGCTCCCTCATTAGACTCTAACCTACGGCTCTGCACCATTTCACTCACCACTACATCTCTAGGACTTACCTGCTACACAGTAAATAATAATTTTTTAAAAACTGTTGAAACAAAATCATTACGCTAACAATTTCAATTCCTACCTACAATAGGCTACTCAGTTATTAGTATTTACTAAAATCACACAAGGTGCAAAATGTCGCACTATGCAAATAACCAAATATACACCAATTCCTAAACTGTAAAGTGTATACTATCTAAATCAGTAACACTCTTGTTGAATTGTATGAAATGTCATCTAGTTTTTCATACTCTCAGATAAGTTGTATTAATTATTTCCAAGGAAGAACACCTGAAGGTAACTACATCGTAATGAATGACCATTTGAGAATAACAGGACAGGAACTTTGTCCCTGCAAATAAAACTCCATTCCAAACCAAGTTTGTCAGCCAGTTCCAAGTAATACGTCAATACAACAAACATGAGTCTCTCCATCAGAATAACTTGAGGTTTACTTAGAATGTTTTTTAAAATACTAGTCAACTCATGTATCTCAAAATGTTAAACATCATGCTAACGGTCAGCACATGGAACTGGGAAGATCTTACCTCCGTTATCATTTTACAGCTTTTACAGGGTCCAATCTGACTAAATAACTGAAGAATAAGAACTTCCGTCACATCTCTGGAGAGGTTACCTACGTATCTGGACAAAAAAAAGAAAAAAAGAAAAAAGAAAAAAAAATCAGTAATTTCTTTCAGCCCTGGCTCTTGTGTTATTATTTAACTTATCACCTTTTAGTTCATTTTAACTCCTGACTTCATATAGCTATTCCAATTAAGACTGATTCTATGAAAGTAAAATTAATCCTTGTTTATGAAAGCAACAAATGTACTTAGGCCATTAATGTACCACTTCAAAAGACTTTTATAAAAAACAAATGAACATAATCATGTATACCAAAAGCATAGTTTTCTCATCTCAATAGAATAAAAATAATGAAAACTTAAAGCAATCTCAAGATAACTACAACTTTTTAATATGAAACACAATTTAAAATAATGTAAAACACACACATACTCATAATTATTGACTTATCAAAACACCTGATCATAAAGGAATAGCCTTTTATATTAGATATAAAGGAATATAACAAGAGTTTATCTTAGGCCAAAACCGGTTTGGCTCAATGGATAGAGCGTTGGCTTGGGGACTGAAAGGTCCCGGGTTCAATTCCCATCAAAGGCATGTACCTTGGTTGCGGGCATATCCCCAGTAGGGGGTGTGCAAGAGGCAGCTGGTCGATGACTCTCTCTCATCCATATTTCTAACTCTATCTCTCTCCCTTCCTCTCTGTACAAAATCAATAAAAATATATTTTTTTAAAAAAAGAGTTTATCTTAGATCTCCAATCAAAGCAATTACATGACCAAAAAAGAGAGTTAAAGTTACAGCAAAACACACAGAAATCAGATGGGTCTGTTTTGTCTTGCTAAATAAAATTACTTGTTTTGTTTTAGAATAGCAAAGTAAAATAATAAAATTTCCTAGCCTAAAACACATCGTAATCAACAAAATATATACTGATCTAGATAAAGCAAATATAAAGACTTCTTTAGAAACTCCGAGAAAATTTAAGACAAATACAAGTATACTTCTGAGTATGCCTAAAGGGTTGGGATTAGTTTTTGTTTGTTTTATAAACTGAATATATGTATTTTGTATAAGAAGTTTAAAACACAGCCTGGCCGGCATATCTCAGTGGCTGAGTGTCAACCTATGAACCAGGAGGTCACAGTTCGATTCCAGTCAGGGCACAGGCCTGGGTTATGGGCTCAATCCCCAGTGTGGAGGGTGCAAGAAGCAGGCAATTAATGATTCTCTCTCATCATTGATGTTTCTATCTCCCTCTCCCTTCCTCTCTGAAATCAATAAAAATATATTTTAAAAAACATCATCTAAAAAGAAGTTTGAAACACAGAAGAATCTTTAAAAGGAAAAAAGAACACCATCACCTAGAGATGACAACCTTGGTGTTTCTTGTACCATGGATTCATTGTAATTTAGCTTAACTGTCAAACTTCTAAGTCTTTCTGGTCCTCAGTGTATAATTCCTATAATTTGCCTGTTATGAACCTCACCAAGCAAACAATATTTGTAAAAATTAACATTTTCTTATGGAAAATAAATAGACATACGTTTTTATTTTCCTAATATGTTACATATGGAAACTTAGTACTGAGACCAAAATAAGCTTTGCATCTATTAACACACTAAATACATAACTGCTTTAGGATGGAAGACTTTGAAAGGAGAAAACAGACTGAGAAAGGTAAAGTTATGTGTAATAAAGGAAATTATCTGATTAGGACTGAATAGGCACTTTCCAGTTCAGCTAAGAATTTCATTGCAGTGAGTACGAATACGGTTAATTTATGTGCTCTAAGACTGAAACACAAGCCCAATGTTAACTAATAGACGACTAACCCAGGGACAGACTTGTTTAGGTCACCCAAACCATCTCTCCTCACAATGACAGCAGAACAGGCCCATGGCCAGGGCATGCAGTGGCACACTTCTTTCAGCAGCAGCGAAGGTTAGAGACTTAGGAGTTAGCTAGGCAACTACCTGTCCCTTTTCAACTCATATGGGGTTTGTGAGCAATCATGGATGGAATTTCCTTTTTGCACAAGGTAGACCTCTCTATAAAGAAAGTGAACAGCCGAAACCGGTTTGGCTCAATGGATAGAGAGTCGGCTTGGGGACTGGAGGACCCGGGTTCGATTCCGGTCAAGGGCATGTACCTTGGTTGCGGGCATATCCCCAGTAGGGGGTGTGCAAGAGGCAGCTGGTCGATGACTCTCATCGATGTTTCTAACTCTCTATCTCTCTCCCTTCCTCTCTGTACAAAATCAAATAAAATATTAAAAAAAAAAAAAAGTGAACAAGTAGCCTTGGTCTCCTAAGTATTATGTTCATCTAACCTAAAGTGCTAGATAGCTTATTTTTAAGAGATTTGGCGTGGATAAAACTAATTTTCACATATTGAAGCTAACAAGTAATAAAGTTAAAACAAAATGATCACTGTGATGTAACAAATCTTAAATTGTTTTACATTTGTATTACTGCTTAAAACCTTGATTTGTTGCAAAGGCACTAATTACCTTCTATATACAGTATAACAGTCACAATCAAAGCTGTTACTGTTTCATACGAGTTTTATTTCAAGCCGATCTATTCCAATACATTATAATTTTGAGAATTTCTAGAAGCACATTTAGATATATTAACTTACATCTCAAGCACTGATGCCAAAGAGCAAAAATGTTAGCCAGACTTTAGAATGACATTAAATAAAATGTTTCCTATTTTTCAAATATCTCCACTAAAAGTTCTGTGGTAAAGCAGCAAACTTCTTTCTGCTATGGTTATGAAGCAGGCCATTTATACTAAAGTTCCAAGTGTTTAAATATAAAATTTCAACTCAAAGATCATATATAAAATAACAGAAAAAGACAAATGACTCAAATTTGTATTGAGAGGTCAACTCAGAGTAAACGATTTTTAACTCAAGAAAAAAGAAAAGCATACCTTCGGTCTATTTTATCTTCTAAGAACAGGAACTGTAGGAGCTAAAGCATTAAAAGTGGAAAATGATGCCTTCATCCCTAACATCAGGGTTAAAATTCAATTTAAGATAGAAACTTCCCAGCTACACAGGAGGCAAAAGTTCACATTGCCAAACTACTTCCCCTGTCCCACTGGGCAGAATTTTAAGTTAAGAACATCATGCCTTTCAGAGAAAAGACAAATCACACATTTCACCATTGAATGTTTTCTTACTCTGTTAAGAGTAGACCTACCAGGGCTGAAATTACCAGCATTTTCACATAACATAGTATAACCACATTTCTCTGATAAAGTAACATTTTTACTTTTGTTCTTGAAAAGTTCCTATACAACCGGAGATTTTGCAACAACACCCTTCAATGGGCATCTAATGAATTATCAATCTGTCACTGTTCATCGCAGGTAGCAGGCAAAGTGCAGGGAAGGGACAGGTGAACTGACCAACCACATAAGGGACACTGATGTTATATTAAGTTGAAAGGCTTAATTACAGCCATAATACAAGCAAACCCATGGTGTAGCTAATCAATACTACAATGGGATTTAATGGGATTTCCTTCTGCTGTTGCCCTTACTCTCAATCACTGGTTTATTTCCTCCTTTTGACCGAGTATCAGGAAGGACAGCCGTAAAGGATGACTGCATAAGAAGGTATAATATAATCCCAGATCCACAATTCCTACTCATTTTGGTGCATCAGATGGATGAAGAAAGTAAACTATAATAGAACACCATGATAATTTAATGTTGATTGCAGATTCAGATATACCATGGCTCAAATCACTGCATTTAGAGCTACCCACAATACATCTGAAATGTGGGTCCTACAAGGTAGCTATCAGGCAGTTCAGTCCCATTTGTTTGCTTTTTTAAATCACAAGTTACCCAGTACATATTACCCCAAAAATAAATGTCAAATGAGAATGGAAAGCAGCAGAAAACAGACCTTTAAAGCAACTATTTGAAAAACTTTAGGCTCAACATCAAAGCAATTCTATACCACTTTAAATACCATCGAATAAATTAGTAATACTGTAGGTAATGAATATTTAAAGACCTACCTAGGCTATAAACACCATATTGTTTTCTGATGATAGAACCATATGTCTTAGCTTGTGTGTGTCTGCAGGAAAAAAACCTCACTAGTAACACACAGGCATTTTAAGGAAACAGTACATTCTTTTAAAACATACTGGCCACTTAAAAACCTAATCCGTAGATCACAATGTAAAATAAAAAGAGCTCCATAAACAAACAAAATAAAACCCTACTAGATATCAATCTTTACAGTCACATTCAAAAGTTTTGTATTACGTTACTTGTATCTAAAGAATCCTTTCAGGAGTAATATGTAAAATAAACTTAAAACTACTATGCATTGTTGTTTTTTTAATTAAAATCTGATCCCAAAAAAAATCCCCGTTGTGAAATATCTTTTACTTCAAAATTTTACATTTGAAGTTTTAAAATATATATAAAATTAACAGACAGCATCATGTGCATATGACAATCAAGTCTGCCTATAACTTTAAATCAATTGGACTTAAAAAAATTAAAAAAAGGACTTAATACTAATGACAAGAGTATAATCATTGTAAAATATTTGAATACCTCTTATTTTCCAGGCAGTGAACTAAGTGCTGCAGGGGTAAGACCTAGGAAGATGGAGCAGTCCTTGTCTAAAAAAAAAACACCCTTCCCATGAGAACAGTGGCAGAGGAAACAGGAAGACAGAATAGTAAGCATGTACATCAAGGCTCAAGACGCTTCCTTACTTATGTGTGCACATGTCACATTTTTAGACAACTGCAAACACAGATAAAGTAAGTGTGTTTTGGAGAAAGAACAGGAGATTGGAAAAGGTACAGGTCAGAAGTAAGTGACAAAGAAGTTAGTTTACCGTTATTAGTCAGTTGAGGAAAGTCTAAGGTCCAATGGAGATGAAGACAAGACAGATGCAGAGATCTAGGAATTAAAAGTACTGAAACAGCATACTTTTAGCCTGGCAAAAAAACAAGAACTTCTCTTCATAAGGAAGTTAGAGGTAATGAGAATATGCCATGAGGATTTACCAATTATTCAGCAGCTATTATGATGTAATCATGACATCTCAGTTTCTTAGATACAATGTAACCTTTTTTTTTTTAAAAAAAACCCGTCTTTATTTGAGAGAGAGAGAAAGGGAGAGGGAAAAACACCATGTGAGAAAGAAACAGGTCAGGCTGCTGCACACCCTAACCAGGGATGGAGCCTGCAAAAACGGAACTGGAGACCTTTCCCAGCCAGGGCATGACAATGTTACTTTTTGTTAAACACCCGCTAGCTGGCTCCAAATCCAGCTTCCCCAGATGCTTCCATCAAAACACACACTAACTAAATATCAAGCCTTGGCTTCAACAGATGTTAACAAATTTCAAGCTTGTCCCAATTCCCTTTCTGGGAGAAGAAGGCCAAGATGGAAGACGGAACAAAACAAATAGAAAAGTTTCGCTAAGCAGGCTTTCCATTCAAACATCTGGTGCTTAAGCTGGCCTCAAACTCTCAAAACAGGATGGCAGATACTTTAGTGAGGAGAAAAATAAGGGACGAAAAAGTGCGAGGCCCCCTCAAAACAAACGAACCGTCAAGCCCGCATCAATGTGGTCCAGGCATCCATCCGCCTCACTGACAGCTTCTTTGGGAAGACCCAAGAGACGGGAAGCTTGTCAGGCCTCCTGGGGACCTACCCGCCTGCATCCATTGCCCCAAAAGCAATCTGCCCTCCGACAGCACAGCCGGGCGAACTCTGACCCTATCACACCACAGGGCAGAGGCGAGAGGAAAAAACTGAGCAGCGACCTGGCTCCCGGGACCGCAGGCCGGCGCTGAGCTTCAAGGTGCCCAAACTTAAAACGTGTCATTAGAAACTACTCGACTTTTTTTTTTTTTTTTTTTTTTTTTTTTAATGCAGGAAAAAGGAAGGAGTGCCTCACGATCCAGACGGGAATGCGAGTGCTGAGTCATCACTCTTCCGAAGGCAAGAAACTCCAGCGAGCGGCTGGGAGATGGAACTCATTCATTAGGTTGGGCTGCAGGTAAGAAAGCCACAGCGAGCTGGGAGAAGGAGCGTTGCAAGGACACACAACGAGCGGTGGATAAAATGCATCTTTTTTTTTTCTTTTTCTTTTTTTTTTATCCAACTCCGAGGGTCTGGCCAGAGAAGCAGGGGGAGCACCCACAGGACAAAAGCAGCTGGCCAGCTGGCTGGCTGTCAGCGGAGCGAAGGCAGCGCTCAGAGTCAACTTCGTGGTCCAAGGAGGGAGAGATGCTCCGGCGGCCGGGAGGCATCCCCTCCCTCCGCGCGTCCCAAGAAGCGGGCGCCGGGCCGCGAGTTCCCGCCGCGTGGGCGGGGGCACGTGGGGCCGGGCGCGGGCAGGGGCTCGGCGCCCGGAGGGCCCGGCTTCCGCGGGGAGGGAGCCCCGCCGGGGAGCAGCCGGGGCCCGGGGCCCGGCGGGCGCGGGTGCCCATCCCTCCCGGCCCCACCCCCGGTCCCACCCCCGCCAGGCCCGGCCCCCGCGGGGCCAGCCGGCGCCTGGCTCAGCCCCGGCCCCTGAAGCGCGGGGAAGGCGGGCGCTCTCCCGGCCCCGCAGCCTCCGCGGAGCAGACGCCGGCCTGGGGAGGCGTGCAAAGGGGGGCGCGACAGGGAGATCGGAACGGGCCCCGGGCCCCGGGCAGGGGCCGATGGGGGAAGGGAGGGCTTCCTTCCCGAGGAAAAGGGGACAAACGAGGAATGCACTCCGCATCCGCGCCGCCCCGGCCAGGGCGCCGCCGGGAGCATCCCGGCCTCGGCCCCGCTCCCCTGCGCTCCCTCCCGCGGCGCCCGGGCCTCGCGGCGCCCGGCACCCCCTCGTCTCGGGTACTCACAGAGTCCGGGGCTGCCCGTCGTCTTCCATCATGGTGGGTGCGACGGAGCGATCCCGGGACAAGGGGGAGGGCAGGGCTGGGGAGGGGAGGGGGCGGGGAGGAAGGGGAGGGGGGCTCCGGGCACCGGGTGGGGGCAAGGAAAGGACACCGACCCCTGCTCACGGGCTCTCTCCCCCCGGCCCGCTCCGGACACTGCGCTCCAACCAGGAGGAGCAGGAGCAGGAGGAGGAGGAGGAGGAGGATGGACAAAATGGCCGCCGCCACCAGCCAGGCAGGAAACGGGGCAGGGCGCAGGCGCGGCCCGCCAGGTCACGGCTCAGGCCGGCCGCGGCGGCCTGCGAGAGGGATAACTTAAGTGAAGAGGGAAACGGGCCGCCGCCGCCGCCGCGGAAACCGCGTGTCCGGTCACGAGGGAGCACGTCGTCGCGGTGCGGCCCCCTGGCCGGCCGGAGCCCGGCCAACTCGAGAAAAGAGTGAGAGAAGAACCGCCGCGAAACCGAAGTGTCTGGGAATTGTGGTCCTGGAAATGAGAGAGGGCAGCACCTCAAAGTGCTTCTGGGAACTGTAGTCCACAGGAGACACGCGCTGGGACGCGCAGAGGAGACTTCTGGGTACTGTAGTACGCGAGGCCATGCGGCTACCAGGAAGTCGGGGTGCCGGGACGGGGTGGGGAGGGAAAAGGCGACGTAAAAAGGCTGGGAAACCCCATGGGGGGGAACGAACGCCGTCCCAGACATAAACTACAAGTCCCAGAGTGCCTCGCGCTCCAGGCATTTTTAAGGCTCTTCTGTTGGCTCAGCGGGAGCCGCTGCTCCGCCTCCGTCCAGTCCGAGAGCGGTTTCTTCAACTGCGGCTCCGGCGGCGCTCTGGCTCCGCATGGTGTCCGGGCCGGCAGGTCTTCCCGGCCCGGGGCTGGTCCGGACGGCGGGCCCGCGGGCGCCAACCGCCGCCCCGCGCCAAGGGCCGGCGCAGCCCCGCAGGCCTGCGGGGCGCGCTCCTCCGCAAGCAGGTGTTCCCAGCCTAGGCCGCCCGCTCTGCAAAAGCTTTACCGGTCTTAAAGGTTTCCTTGATCTCACTGGAGAAGGGTAAGGAGTGGCCCTGCATTAAAATGACTCCTGGAGTCGGCGCAAGGTGCATTGGCAATGCCCTCCACCCCCTTATTTACTTATTAGAGTGAAACAAAATAATAATCATCTCTGGGCAGAGACGTGCCAGCCCTCAGGCTGTGTTTACAGAGACCCGGCCTGTAGACGCGGAATGGAGCCTTGATGGGCACGTGGGAAGCCACGTTCAAACTGGCGGCTCGCCCTGTAGCCCCCCTTCCCCACCCACCCCCCACCCCCAGTTCCCAGTACTCTTCCCACTACCTCCGCCGCGACCATCTCTAGGAGGACGGTGTGGAGTTCATACCCCTCTGGAAGCTTGCGAAGGATGGTGGCACCGAGGACGGTTTTGAGCCCCGAGCTCAGCGGGCCCGGTTAAACCGTGCCTGGGTTAGAGCGCGGGCCCGCGCTCCCGCGGTTCTCGGGTCGGATTCCTGCCGGTTCGCTCCGGGCCCCCTGGACAGCGTGCATGCCAGTCAGTGGATAAAAGGACGTGTTTTTTTTTTCTTTCTCTCCCCCTCCCTCTCTGAAAAGCAGTGGGGGGAAATGTCCCCAGGTGAGAAGTAACGAATAAATAAAACAGCGCCTCGAGCGTTGGTTCTACCAAGGTGCGGAGGGCCTGCTCTGCCAGCTGCAGTCTGCTGGTGCCACCGAATCCCAACCCCAAGGGGAGTCAGCTGCAGCTAAAGCGGCTACTGCCGATATGAAGGGGGAGGGTGTGTTTCAACGTGGGCGGCTTCCAAGAGACCATGACAAGGGAGTTGAGCCCCATGGAGAGTCAGTGGGAACAGCAAAGGCCCACAGAGGCCAAGGCCCCGGGCTGAACTGTTTGGTTTCCCCCCACCCCAGGGAAGAAATGGGGGAAGGCAAGAATGCCCGCAGCACAGGTTGGACGCTTGTGTAAGAGAAGGGAGGAAGGAATTCCTCCCTTCTGAGGAATTGCCCCAGATTTGGGGCAGCCCTAAGAAAGCCTCAGCTAGGCCACTGGGGAGCCCCATACAGAGACTGCCCATGAGGAGTCCCAGCAGACCTGGCCCTGCCCCAGGACCCCTGCTCCCTCAGTCTCGGGGGAAGGCCTGGTCCCTGCATGAATACTCCACTGGATGTTAAGTTGCTGCCTTCTAACCTGGAGAAGACCTGGTTAAAATTATGTCCCACTCACTCCACACCTTGTAGCAGGTCCTCTTGCAGGAAGGTCTAGTGACCTTCATGGTCACCAAAGTCACACACCAGAAGCTCTTACAGGCACAGCTTTGTTTCTGGGCCGCCTTCTATTCCACCGGCCAACCTCCCTGTGCCTGCACCCACGCAAAACTTCCACTTCCTAAGTTCAAATCCTGGCAGGTTAGTCTCCACCTTCCTGCGCTTTAGAGTGTCCTGGCTATTCTTGGTCCTTGACTCGTCTGTATGGATGAAGCAGAGAAGTATACCAGATGTGTATTGTAACAGGTAACGCAAGCAGTTGTATGGATTATTATAGGAATGCATGATTTCAGGCTGAGAGAGTCCTGGGACATAATTTTAATAACCCAAGCAAAAAGAACAGAAGAAAAAAGAGCCCAGCTGGTGTGGCTCAGTGGTTGAGGATCGAGCTATGAACCAGGAGGTCACAGTTTGATTCCCAATCAGGACACAAGCCTAGGTTGTGGGCTCAATTCCCAGTAGGGGGCGTGCAGGTGGCAGCGGATCAATGATTCTCTCATCATTGGCGTATCTTCCTCTCTGAAATCAATAAGAATATATTTAAAAGGGGAAAAAAACAAAAAACAATAGTCCAGCAAGAGATACAGATTGAGTGGATTGTAGCCAGTAGCAATAGAAAAAGACAAAGTTATGAATTCAAGATAACTAGTGTAAATTCTGCTTTCCTAAGTGAACCCGATTGATATAGTATTATTATATCCATTTTACAGATGAGAAGACTGAGGCTCAGGAGATTGAAATGTGCCAAAGCTCACTGTTAATAAGGGCCCCAGGCTGACTCCAGAGCCCTTGCTGTACTTCATATTAACATTATTAATCTATAGCAATAGGTGATTGTACTGTATAATCAGCAGCGTGCTGTAGAGTACGATGATAATTACTTGATGTCACCTCTATAGGAAGGGTTCTGTTTAACATTCTGAAGGCCCAGCAGAGGGAGCTCTGTCCCTAAGGACCAGGACAGCCGCTCACCCAGTTGGGAATGAGGCTAAGGATGCGGATCAAAAGGACTGGCTCTGTGGCTGAGTGTCAACCTATAACCCAGGAGGTCACAGATTCCCGTGGGAGGGGAGGGAGGCTCGATTCCCAGTTCGGGATGTGCAGGGGGCATCCAGTCAGTGATTCATCATTAACTGATGTTTCTCTCTCCCTCTCTGAAATTAAAAATAAATAAATAAAAGGACTAGGCGAGTCTTCAGCCCTTCATCACAGGAGACTGTAGGCTCCTGAGCCGAAGGGAAAGGGAGCAATTAACATTAAGCCCCACAGATTGCACCGGTTTAAATTGTGGTAAGCTGGAGTTGCTCTGTTTGAAGAGGGTTCCCTCCAGGAAGAGGGATCCATGGTCCCTTCCTGCCCTCCTCCCACCTGAGCCGATTCCATCCTGATGTTAACAGAAGCTTCTCTGGAGTGGGCCAGATTTGCCAATGGACAGAGTCTCTGAGTAAAAGGGGTCTCTCTTTCCTATGAAATAGTAACAAGAATAAGGAAGGGCAGGCCTGCTCTCTGAACACTTAACCACCTTCTCCCTCCTCCCTTCCTCTTTGACCTGCACCAGTCCTGCACCTGGTTCTGAGGTTCCCTTGATCTTGACCTCTGGGTGTATCCCTACTTTTCCTTTCATCACAGCCACAAAATCTGAGATGCAAGTATGAGCTCTGGGGTAGTAAATCTTAGACCTCAGAACCTGTAAACAGGTTTCATAGCTCAACCAATACCAGGAAAAGGGGCAGGGCCAGCTACCTTCTCCTCGACCGGGGTTTGGAGTTACCTGGCATTGCCTCCTGTGTACATGCACCTGCCGTGGAACTTGCTCTAGGTAGAAGTGATAGGCCAGAGGTAGAATCTGGGTGTTGTTGACTTCCCCTAGCCAAAATGCCACTTTAACACATGTTGTCATGGGTAACAAATACAAAAGAATATATAAGAAGAATAAAAAGTGAAGTCTCAGGAGCCCGCGTTATTATTCCACTCAGTGAGACAGGTGTCTGTCTTGCTGTGTCCTATGACCCCGAAGGTACCAGACACTTGTCTCTGCTAGGTGAGTGCTCAATGGGTGGCGAGCCGGTTGATTGGAAATCCATGGAGAACCTTGATGTTCTGGAGCCTCTAGTGGGCTCTGGCCTGCTGGAGAGGATTTAAAACCACCTGCTGTGGCTGCTGCCTCCACCACCATCACCTCTTGCATGGGAAATAGCCATCACCTTCTCTGTTCTCCTTCCTTTCGGTGCACTCTCCGCAGAGAACTCAAATGATCTTTTTGAAAAGATGGAAACAGACTACATCGTTGTTTGGCCTAGAGTCTGCGGCCTCCCATAGCAGTGAGAATGAGATCCAGATCTGCTGTGGTCTCTACAACCACGCAAGTATGGGTCCCCTTGGGACAGTTTCTCCTGCTCTTCCTCACCCCGATCCCGCCACCGGGGATTGTCTCAGTTCACCAAACAGCTCTCCTCACCCCACAGCCCCACCTTCGTTCTTCCTTTTGCCTAGAATGGTCTTTCTCACCTCTTCCTGGAGCTGGGCCCTTCTCATCTATCAAGTCTCAGCATGTGAGTCCCCTCCCTAACCAAACGGAAAGTGGGGTCCCCGGTTATTCCCCATTTATCACTTTATCCCATGTGGGTGCCATCGCAAGCTGTTTCTTTTGCTTATGTCTGTCTGTCCCCCATCGAGAACCTTGCAGGACAGGGACCCTGTCTCGTCTTGTCCTCCCTCTCTCCAGC